TTCCATTTTTGTTCAACTCTGTTAGGAAACTTTCTTATTATATATAGTAGGCCAAAACCTAACTCTGTAACTTCCAGGGTGTTTCAACTGAACCCAAAATACTCTGACTACGCATTTAGTGCTCTTTCCTCTAGACCTTTAGAAAACTCAGGGATATGATTGGAAGGGCAAGGCTGAAGCACAATTAAGAGCTAGGTTATGGTTAGTAGGGCTGTGGGAGAGAAGGGGCATGGCTAGGGCCCTAGACCTAAAGCACAGTTAGAGGAAATCAGTTTTAAGTAGTGGACAAAAATGCTAGACTTGCAATCAGGAAGACCCTGGGTACTAATCCTGCCACACTGCTGTGTGAATCTGAGTAGGTCACTTCACCTTTCCAAGCCTTAGTTTCTTTCTCTGTAAAATGGAGATAATGACACCTACCTCATAGGATTGTTGTGAGGATCAGATGAGGTCATGTATGTAAAGTGCTCTATAAACCTTAAAGAACTCTATAAATGTGAACTTATTATTAGGCTGGTTGGGGGGGGGGAGGCAGGTTTACATGCCACTTCTGACTCTAACATAGTTTTACCACCAGAGGATGAGCAGTTTGGAGTCAATACTTGGAGTGTTTGTTTAAGGTGTTAGTCCCAAAAGCAGTGGGTGTTAGACAAAAGAGGTGTGTTCAGCATTGTTTTCTGAAAAGAGTAAGTGTTATATAGGGGAGGTGTGTTCAGAGCTAGTCCCTGAAGATTGTGCATGGGATGTTCAACAACAGTAATTTTGAAGGCAGATACTCCTTGAAAGGAATGGAGTGTTAGAAAGGGAAGGTACAGGCACTTAATAAAATCTTTACTGAGTGTCAAATTAAATTTATTAAGCATGTACTATGTGCTAGGCATTGTGCTAAGAGATGGGGATACAAAGAAAAGTAAAAAAAAACAGCCCTGTTCTCAAGGAGCTTGGAGTCAAATGGAGGAGATAACATGCAACCAATCATGTGCAAACTAAATCTATACAGGATAAATTGGTGATAACCTCAGGAAAGGCACTAGTATTAAAGAGGACTGGGAAAAGGCTTCTTGTAGAAGATAGGATTTGAGCTGGGACTTGAAGAAAGTCAGGGAAATCAGGAGGCAGGGATGAGGAGGGAGGGTCTGTTTCATGCTCAGAGACAGCCTGTAAAAATACAGAGTGCAGAGAAAGAGCAAGGGAGCAGTGGCAAGAAGGCAGATGTCATCGTATCACTTGTTCTGTAGTTTTCTGAGAGGAGTCGGGCATTGGAGAGGGGAGATGAACTCTGGGCTCTTCATTAGAGGAGTTCGATGATAGGGGAAGAGCATGGGGGCTGTTCCCAGAGAAGGGGCAGGTGTGGGGCTGGGAAAGGGTCTGCAGGGATGTTTCCTGGGAGGAGTGGTCTGTTAGGCAGTTGAGTCATTTCTCTGAGGCTCACACTAGAGCAACCACAATTATTGTTGTAATGCTTCCTCACAGTTTGGCTGGGAGAAAAGCACTTTGTAAACTGTAAAATACTGCACAAATGGGAACTCATTATGAATCTATTTTAATCTCAAACAATGAGGACATTGTCTCTATAGGCAAAAGTCAGCAAAATAGGCAACGTTCATCTTTTTCAGCACATAGCAGTACTCAAAACTAGGCTCTGGGAGATTGGCAGAATAAATAATAATAATAATAATAGCCAGCATTTATATAGCACTTTAAAGTTAGCAATGAACTTTAAAATGTCCCATTTGATCCCAACAATAGCCCTGGAGGTTTTTGTCGTTGTTGAGTCATTTTCACTCCTGTCTGTGGCATGTCACTCATTGTGACCCCATTTGGGGTTTTCTTGGCAGATACTGGAATGGTTTGTCATTTCCTTCTCCAGCTCATTTCCCAGATGACAAAACTGAGGCAAACAGGGGTAAGTGACTTGCCCACCACCACACAGTGTCTGAGGTCAAACTTGAACTCAGGTCTTCCTGACTCCAGGCCCCAGGTGCTCTACCACTGTGCTACCTAGCTGATTATCCCCATTTTATAGATGAGGAAACTGAAGCTTAAAAAAGGTTAAGTAATTTACCTACGGTCACAGAGCTATTAAGTGCCCAAAGTAGAATTTAAATTAGTCTTCCAGATGCTAGATTCAATGCTCCTTTATCTGTTGTGCTACCTGTTACTAAAGGAATTCACATTGAGGCATGAATGACACATGTATTTGCATCTTAAAGTATTTGCAGTGTTTGTTGAAACAAATTGTGATTCTTTCACATCCCTATTCCTCAATGCCTCATGTTTCCAAGTGGCCTCTTGCTCTGACCTTCCTGCCATCTTACTCCTTCACCAATCAAAACTCCTATCCTTTCAGCATAAGATTACACCATCCCATGAGTATAGTTTTTAGGTCACTGTATAGTTAAACTGTGGAAGATGTAGGGGAGATATTCTCTAAACCCAAGCACAGGTAGCCAGACGGGAAGCACTTGCTTTCAAGAGGGCCTGAAGACTATAGAACCATGGCATTCAAACTGAATCACATGCATTTCTAGAGCTGATTCTTGGACTGACTGATTCCTCCATTTCTTGCAGCTATTTTCTGTTCCCAACTTCAGGCTCTCCCTTATGTGGCCCTGACTTTGGTCTCTGCTTCTTACTTGGGCAGATCTTTAGGTATGATGAAAGCAAAGAAAGCAATGTCCTGGCTCCAACGGCTGATGCACTCTAAGCATGAAGCTAGTCTGTTCAAATTGTGAGCCACCTATCTTTGGCATTCTTTTAGAAGATCCTCTAATAGACCCTACCCTCCTTTCTCTCCTCCCCCCACCCCTTTCTTGTCTTCCAGGTAGTAAAAATGTGGACTCAAATTTGCATCCACGCATTCACCTAACTCAAAACCTTTTCATTTTTTCCAAGTAGAACCCACAAGGCTCAGCAACAACAACAACAACAAAAAACAACAAACCCAAAAAACCCCAAAAGAAACAAAACAAAAAAAAAAAAAACAACATTCCAACAGCGGAGAAGGTTTCTTACAGTTTAGTTACATTATCTGGGGGAGAGGGAGGAGGGGAGGGAAAGAGGAGAGAAAAAGAGCCAATTATGGTGATCTCTCCTCTATTCCCTTCATAACAAACAAGATACATGGACAAGGGGATAAGGATATTACACTGTGTCTAGCACAGATGATTACATTGGTGGTAGAACAGCTATTCACTTCCTGGCTTCACAAGCACCCTCATGCTCCTTTTCTACTATACTCCAGTAGGTGCTTAATAAATGTTTATTGATTGACCGGCTGTTTGTACAACTGTTTGTTTGTTGGTTCCCCCATTAGACAGTGAGTTCCCTGAGGGCTGAGTCTGTCTTTTCCCTTCCTTTGTATCCTAGCGCTTGGTACAGCGCCTGGCACACAGTCAGTGCTTAATAAATGCTTGCTGACTGCCTACTGAAATGTCTGGAGTTGAATAACGGGTTAGCTTGGAAAAACAACCACAAAAGATCCTCCAACAATTCAGAAGTTGCAGAGCTGGGGACGCGAGTCCGTCACACAGAGGGACTCAAGCTCCGCACACTTCCCTAATTTCCCCCTCTCTCCCGGGCTCTCCTCCCGGCTGGTTGTTCCCGCTCCGTGGCTCTGATTGGCCGGCGATGATTTCATTGTCAAGGAACATCCGGGTCTCCTCTCCCCTCCCCCCCATAGGTTATCCCGTCCTCCGCGATACCGACCCGTCCCGCGACCGCCCCACCCCGTAGGACGAAGCAAAACAACCGCCTCTCCCTTGATCTCTTCTCCGTCCCGTCCGCCGCCTCCCGACTCGTCTCCCACGCCCCAGAGAGGCATCTTCGTCCTCCAATGAGGAACGAGGACGACTTTTTCCACCAATCAGAATTCAATGCTTGCAATCCGGGGCGGTGTAGGGCCTCTAAGCCCAAACCTGGGTGGTCTGTTGGTTCCTTTTTGGAGCTTGCTTGTACGCAGGGTTTAGAGGTCGGGAACAGCAGGGAAAACTCTTCATAGGGACGCGCCGGAGGTAGATGGGGACTCCGAGTTTGATTGATAGGGGAGTCCTGCCAATCGCGTTTCCGAGATCTCCCCGCCTTTTGCTTCCCATTTAAAAAAAGCCGGTGTGACGGACTTGGAAATTGGCTCAGTGATAGACAACCAGAGAAAGCCAATGACGTGAAGGTTTGAGCCAATTTGGACCAATAGAGAAAGGGAATGGTTAGGGTCGGGCTCAGCAAGATGGCCAAGCGTATGGGCGGTGTTTGATTGACAGCTCCCTTGACTTATGATCAAGTAGGCCACCGACACCAATGAAGGGAAGGTATTGCTGAGTCTGGTTAAGCATGAAACAAATCGCTTTAAGAGGATGGGTCTTCCTTAGTGGGCGGTGTTTGATGGACGTAGATATTGTCCAATTGAGAAAGGCCGTTGGTGCCCAATGGGAGATTTGGAACAGAGGCGAGGCCGTGGAGGCGGGGGAAATGAAATGCGGAGTTGCAATAGGGAGCCCAACTGGACAAGAGATCAATGACCGACAGGCCACTCAGCGAACCGGCTTCCGTGACAGAGCGCGTGGCTTCCTAATGGGCGGGGTTGGGGGCGGGGCCCACGGAGGGGCGGAGAGGAACGCGGACTTGAGGAGGAGGGGGGGGCACCCATCGCAGAAGGAGCCGAGTTGCTGCTGCTACTGCTGCTGCTCAATGGCGGAGAAGCCGCCCGGGTTCTGACCGACTCGTCCCCCGTTGGCAGTTGCGGGGGAGTTTCCTGCCGGCGCGGCTGGAGTCTCTGTTTCTCAGGGGTCGGTGGTTGGAAGATGCCCCAGAGAGACGAGGCCGCGACGGAGGAGGCGGCGGCGGCGGCGGCGGCGGCAGCGGCAGCAGCGACGGCGCTGAGGTGGAGGGAAGGAGGCAGCGGCGGTGGCGGTGTGAAGGGCCCGACGGTGTAAACAGCCCTTGAGGCGCGGCGGCCGAGGCCGGGGCAGAGGAGGAAGCAGCGGCGGCGAGGGGCCGCGCCTCCGTTGGGATCCCGGGATTAAGTGCGGCGGGGGTGGGGGGGAACTCTACGCGGGGCCGGAGCGAGACCCGAGGGACCTCTCTGTCTTCCCGCCCCAGGTAAGCGCCGCCCGTTGCTTCGGGCGAGGGGGAGAAAGATTCCGAGGGTGACGGTCGAGGTGCTCCTCCTCGGAGGCCCTTTTCGGCTGCTTAATCCCCTTCCCTTCCCCCACCCCTCCGGGAGCCCGGGACGCCAGGCCCGACTCCCGGCTAGGCCTCTGCCCTGGCCCTTTACTCGGCTTTGGCCCGGGGTTGGAAGCGATGGATGCGTTTCAGAGGTCAGCTCCTAGCGGCGGAGCAACAAATGTTGTTAAATAATCAGCTTCTTGCTGCTTCTCGCTCCTCAGTCAGGAAGCTGCTTTCTCTTTCTTTCCCGGGGGGAGTGGGGTGGTGGTGGAGGGGGTCCGCACTCCTGCACTTACTCTGGGCCTTAAATCATTCCTTCCTCTTCTGCCGGGTTTGCAGTCTTCTCTCCCCTGGACCCCTGCATCCCTTCCCATTTGTGATTTCCTTCTCACTTTTCGGCAGACCTTTCTTTATCTTGTCATTGCTCCCAACCATTATTTTAAGCCATATCCTTTATTTTCTTTAAATGGCTGCTTTTATGTTTTCTCCTTCATCCTTCCCTCCTCCCTCTGTTTTATCGTCTAGTTCTTTTAACTGTAGCTCTCTTGTGTCGCCATTCTTTGAAAAAATGAAAGCTTTAAACGGAATCTCGTGTCTCCAGGACTGATTTTAGACCCAATGTGTCTAGACCCAGTGTGGCTGAATCGCCCCACTAATTCTGTCAGAGGCCCTACACTGAATGTAGGTTGACCTGCTTTATTTGTAGTTTTTTTTAATTACTCTGTCTCATTCTTCCAGTACTTACTAAGAGTTAAAGGACAAGCTATAGACACTTGCTATGTAAATGAAGGGTTGGATGAGGATTAAACAGAGTTGATTCTTAAGTCTTGAAGTCACTCCTTCACATGTAGTTTAAAAGAAGTCAGATCTTTGCTCTTGTGTGTCAGTGCAGACTCTTGAAGCATCACCGACTTCTCATATTGATTTAGAGCTTAACTGCCCTAAAATCAGCAGCCCCAGGAAAACTTTTTTAAAAGAAGAAAAATGCACAATTTAGAAATGTTTTAAAACAGACCTCTTTAAATAAGCACCACGTGCTTAATATATCAAAATAAATTTGGCAGACTGTCATTCTTTAAAAGTTGTTTAGGAATTGGGCCTTGGGGATGTGTATCTACTTTGAATTTTGTTGTTGTTAAAATATTGACATCTCCTGTGATATGACGATTATTGAGGTTGATTGTTAGGGTTAACACAAGACTCCTTTGAATTTGCTACATGGCATGAGTGTAGATTTGTACAAGGATGAACAAATAAATCTCCATATGTTCTAGAGGATAAAGAAATGTCACCAAAACTGAATTTTAATAGACATTGGTATTTAATTTATTATTTTATGTTATGCAATAGCCAAGTTCTTATAGTTGGCCCACTTTTAAATAGAGCATTCCTAAGTAAACAATGAGGCAAGTTATTCTAGTTTTTTATATTTGCCTCTTCCAGTAATACAGGCTTCCTTTTTTATTATAACAAGGACAGACAGTAAAGTATTCAAGTACAATTCTTCTCAGAAGTGTTTCATAGGCCTAGTGAATCTATGTTAGGAGTTTATCTTTTAAAATGTTTGTTTTTTTTTATTGACTAAATGTAGGAAACTCCTACCAATTCTGTTTGGCATCTAGTCTGCAATTTATAGTTTTGGAGAGTTGTCTAGGGCACTGAGAGGCTGTGACTTGCCCAAGGTGACACAGGCTAGACTTGAACCCTGATCTTCCTGACTCGGGTTGGTCTTTTATCCCTATGCTGTGCTGTTTAATTATGGAAGTGTGTTTGTGTATGTATTTAGATAGATCTAAGATCTGTATTTATCTGCTTACATTATTTATCATTGAGACTAGGTTTTCAGCCATTTATGGCTTTTTTGTGTGGGAATTTTTCTGATTTTTTTTTTTAATCCCTTAATCTAGGGGCTTAAAAGACCCGTGTAGTGCCTTATTTTACAGATGAGGAAACTTGTGACCCAGAGATGTTTAAGTGATTTGCTTGAGGTCTCACCTCTGGTAGGTATAGATGGAAATTTGAATCCAGGTTCCCTAACTCCAAATCCATTGATCTTTTTCTTCTTTCTCCTGCTTCTTGCCCTCTCTTAGTGTCTCTGTTGTCTTTTTCTCTTTTTTGTGTGGACTTATTTTGCTATATCTTTATCCCTATCACTGTTTCTGCAACAGTCATTAGTATTGCATTATCAGTATGGTGTAATTTCAGTTTTTTTCTTGCATGTTAGTTAAGATTTCCTCAGTTCTTTGTGTGTCCTCTTGTTTCTGTGGTGAATTCACTTAGTGTTAGGTTAAAAATGATGAGCAAATCAATCATCTTTTTTTACAATACTCATAACAGTGAATGTTATACCATTTCTGGTTGTAGTAGAATAAAATATATATACTCAGTAATTAACATATAATTTCCAACCCCTTGAGACTGATTTGAAGGTATGTATGGTGCATGCAGTAGTCTATTTGAAATGATCAAGACTTCCAGGAAGAGCAGGTTTTTAACTTGACTAGGTCAGAAACAACTATTCTTGTTTAAAAATTCAAATATTTGGTATAAAGAAAAATTATAAGTTGGTTAACATCATGAAAATGGGGTATGTTGATCTTAATGCAATACCTGGAAGCCTGGGATTTACCATATTCCTCAGTTCTGCTAGGGGTTTAGTTAGAACATGGTTGGATAATTGGATGATCATAGTTTATGTAAGATAGTAGCATCCCTAAAATGTTTTAAGTTAACATCATTTTGAGTGGCATTGTTAAATATAAACATGTCTTTGGTAAATTACTTTTGTGAGTGATAACTACTTTAAACCTTTTCTCATATGAAGGCATTTATCTATATTTGACTGTACTTAATATATGGTTACACATAAAAGATTACAAAAATTTTACTTGTTGATAAGATAGAAACTGTATTTTATGTGATGGACAGTCCTCAATGCTAATTTTGTTAGTCACTCATCATAAATGTTGACCAAAGAGTAAAGTTACTGGCTTAATGTATGTTGGTAAAAACTTGAAATAAAGAATTGAAGGTTTGTGTTCTGCCTGTGAAAATAACCTGAATAATTGGCAATACTAAATAAAACACACACACGAAACTTGATATTGTTGATCTCCAAATTTTAGTTTCATAATGATGTTAAAAGAAATTTGAGATGCTGATTACAAATTTGTATAGTTCACTTTTCCCCCCTAATATTTAAAAATAATAGAATCACAGACTTGTTGACTAGGGATCCCTGGGAATGTGGTATTGTTACTTTTTTTCATTGATGTGTATACTTGATGTATTTTCTGTATTGGAAATTTGTTTTAGACTCAGAAATCATACTGGCAACTGCTGTGATCACTAATTATAGTTTTATAGCAAAATGTACCTTTTTAATATCAAATGAGTTGGGTATTGAAAGAACTGGTCAAATTTTATGTAGAGATTAATTGCTATATTGACTAGATTGAACAAGCCAATGTAGAGATAGATAGACAGGTAGAGACAGAGCAAGGTAGATAGCCCTTGAAGCTGTTATTCCATTATTACCACCCTCCTTCAAAGTATGAAGGCAGGGTAGGGTTTGGGGAAGTTTAGCAGCAAAATTTAATTGCTTTCACATGGTACTCCTGAAAGTTTAAGAAATGCCAGTCAATCCTTTTCACTGTCAGCTGCTTCCTGGTCTCTGTCCCTGCTGGGATTGACTTCATTTCTTTGTGCCTTACTTTCATCTTGGAAACTCATGGCTGGCTTGGATAATCTTGAAGGTCACTTCAGTTCTAATATTTTTTGACCTGAACTAATCCAAAAAATGTTGGGGGATGGGGGTGGGAAGTGGTGACTGAAAGAAGAGAAAGGTACAATAATTTACTGACATTTATAGTGATGGTTAGTTTATCTTTCCTCAAGATGATGCTTCTGTCATTAAATTCATTGAAAAAAAGACATTTTAGACTTTTGGTTAAGGTTAATTATTCTAAAAGGCATGTTAGGTTATCTGTGGCATCTGATCTGTGGTCTGAGGCCTTTTACTAAGTTTTCTAACTTCATTTTAAACTATAAATACTATATTCTGTAGAGTAGGAAAAGCATTTCAGCATGCTGCTCTTCTCTCCCCTCTTTTTATTAAGCACATGAGAATTATTCTGATTTGCTCTTATTGTTTTCTCAGTGCTGTGATAAAAAAGCTTTTTGATAGTTTTAAGAACTTTCTTAACCTTATATCAATAATTCTGTTTAGCACCTTTATATGTTCAGACTATGTTAAAAAGTAATGATAGGTTTTAGTATTACTATTAATGTGATAACTTTGGAGAAGTTTTGGCTTTTTAAAAAAAATTTTTTAATTAATTTATTTTGATTTATCAGCAATCACTTCCATAAGGTTTTGAGTTTTAAATTTTTCCTCTCTCCCCACCTCCCTCCCCAAGATGGCGAGCAATCTGATATAGGCTATACATATATATTCCTATTAAACATATTTTCACATTAGTGATGTTATAAGTAAGAATTAGAACCAATAGGAGGAACCACTAGAAACAGGAAACAACATAACAAACAAAACACAAACAAATCAGTGATTTATTCATTTTCAATGCTTTGTTTTCAAGCTTTTTAAAAATGCCTATTAAAATGTGTACTTTAGTGTGTTTTAGCTTTTACGTTCCGTCTTGTTTGTGTTTTTCATAAATCCTCCAGAGAACAACCCTCATAAACATTGAAGGCTTCTCCTGTGGACATCAGTGCAGCATTTGAGTTGCCCCTTTGTAATCCTTGTCTTTTGCTATATGTGATGTATGAATTGCCCTGCTACTTTTCTCTTCACACTTGACCTTGGTGATATCTTTTTTTCTGTTTCTTGTGTATAAGTTATCATTGGTCATATCCTGTAGAGTACTTAAACTCACCAAGTGAGCGGTGGAAAGAGCGCTGATTCTGGAGTCAGA